CACCAGGCTGGGTGAGGCCGAGTCCTAGCGCCGCCGCTGCCTCACTGCCCTCTTGGAAACTCTTCACGCCCTCAAAGGAGGCAGCCAACTTCCTGCCTCTTTCACTGGGATGTTGAGGATCGCAGGAACATTCCTCAGAGTGCAGGGCTTCAGGGCTTACCTTTGTGTAAGAGGATGGTCGGGGAGGGGTTGCTTTTACTACTCCCCCACCCGCATTCTGTGCTGGCTTGCAACCTCTCTGGCCCCCTGAACTTCTTGGAAAGCCCCCTAGAAGAACTCTGCCAGGACGTCCGCCATTTTCAGGTTCCCAGGCAACGCTGAACATTGAGCCAAGCGATTTAGTTTTTGCTTTATTGTTGTTAAAACTCCTCGCTCAGCTTTCAGGTGCTCAAAGGGAAGCAGCAGTACTCGAAATCCCCCAAGGGGGACGTCCTGTAAGGGGCCTCCATGAGCCCTGCCTCACACAGTCAGAGAGGCTGCAAGGACAGAACCAGGGGCTAAAAGAAAGAGCGCTCGCGCGCGCGCGCTCTCTCTCTCTCTCTCTCTCTCTCTCACACACACACACACACACACACACACGCATGCATGCCCTTCAGCCATCTTCTTACCCCATGGTAAACACTTGAACCCTGCACCCTGAGAAATTTCTCCCACGTCCTCTCCCCTTTGCACCAGGCTTGGGTGCAATTGCTTTTTGCCCCGTCTCCCACGGAATGGCCAGAACTAAATCGATTGCAAAATTCAGCGCAGGGCCATGCGCAGCTTCTTCCCTTCCTGTTCCTGCCTCTGGGTTCTGTTTCACTAGAACTACTTGGGTTGGAACCTGAGATCCTGCACAGGCCTCCCTAACGCCCCTCGACCACTCCGACTGCTTATAAGATGTAGAGAAGTGCTTGATGCAGAAACATAGCAACTACCCAGTTGAATTAATTCCAAGGAGAGCAGTCGGCCCCTTTCCTTGACGTGCTGCCCCTGGCTACCAGCGGCTCCATTTTCCCATGCTCGGTGAGCTATTAGGGACAAGAGAAGAGCTCTGTGGCTGGATCAGGGCCAGGGTCTCTCCAGTCGAGTGTTTGGTTCCCCTGGTCGTCAGTTGCCCATAAGAAATCCACTAGCAGGACAAGAGTGTGACAGAACCCTCCAGCCCGGTATTCGGATGCATTCTATCTGTCCTTTCTCAAATCCACATGCTCCTCAAATCTGCAAACACACTAAGAATCCGATGGTGCCAGTCCAAGTTTATCTGCTTGAGTTGAGGCTACAGACATGGAGATGTGGAACAATTTCCAACCAGTTCTGGGTGTGCGCTAAGGGAGGGTTGGGCAGGAAGAGATCACGGAGGAGGGAAAGATCTCCAGCCACCTAATTGGCAGAGTCAATTTAATTATTTAGAAGCAGCCCACTAATTGCTAGGAAACATCCTGTGTGAGTGCATGCAGCCCCTCCAGAACAACACCCCCCCATGCGCCCTGGTTTCTCGTTGACCTGGTTGCAACCCCACAATGCATCTGGCCTAGATTCCATGCCGGAGAGACCATGACCTTTCCAGAAACCCCTGCAGGCTGCCAGCGATTGCTTGGAATCCCTGGGAAGAAGCGGCTGGAGGCGGGGGGTGTGAGAAAGGCAACAGGAAGCAGGAACGGGGCCTGATTCACATGGCCAAGTGGGGAGCCTGGGGACATGGCTTCCACCTGAGCGCACTTGGCACGTGCTGGAAAACGGTGGTGGTTCTTTTGCAAAGCCCAACCATGAGTCTGTTCCTGAGGTGAGAGCACTTGCTCTTCGGAAGTGCCTGCCCAGGTTGATTGATTGATTGATTGATTGATTTATAGCCTGCCTTTTTCCTACAAAGGGCTCAAGGCAGCTTACATCTCCTCCTCCATCTTATCCCCACAACAAGAACCCTGTGAGGGAGGTTGGGCTGAGAGTCTGTGACTGGCCCAAGGTCACCCAGTTGGCTCCATGGCCAAGCGGGGACCAGAACCTGGATCATCTGAGTTCCAGTCCCGTGCTCTTAACCACTACACCACACTGCCTCTCATTCTGCCTCTCCTGCTCTCAGTATTATGCCCACAACAACAACCCTGTGAGGTAGGTTGGGCTGAGAACCTGTGAGTGGCCCACAGTCACCCAGGTGGCTCCATGGCTGAGCGGGGACTAGAACCCAGGTCATCTTGAGTCCCAGTTCAATGCTCTTAACCACTACACCACACTGGCTCTCACACCACACTTATTCGAGAGTTGCCCTCCTGCAATTCTCACCCACTGGTTCCAGTCCTGCCATCCAGAGCAACAGAAACTCCGGTTTTTCCATGTTCTGCAAGGCTGCCTTTCAGATATCCAAAGAGCACAACCTGACCTCCCCCTGATCTCCTCCTCCCCAGGCTAGATATTTCTGTCTCTGTTAACCATTCCTCGCAGGAGGCGCCCCCAGGTTTCTCCCTGTGCTGGTCGCTCTTCTCTAGAAGCGTTCCAACTCGCCAGTGCCCTTTGTAAACCAGGGTGCCAGAAAAGTAGCCCGAAAAATGCAGGATAAAGCAGAAGGCTTCTCAAAACAGGCATCTGTCCCTTTGCGGCTTAATATGTGCAGTGAAATATATATTTGCTGGGCGTTGTGGGCCTTTGTTCTGTCTAAATGTGCGTAGGATTGCACCTGGAAAGAATAAAATAGAAAAATATGGTCAAAACCTAAGGTGGTGCCCTCCAGATGTTTTGGACTACAGCTTCCATAATCCCCAGCCACCCACCCTGCTAGTTGAGACTGAGGAGTGCTTTGGTCCAAAGCACTGTGAGGCCATCAAGGTGTGCAGCCACAGGTGTTTATGCTGCAGAGTTTCTTTGTCTGCTTAGTTGGGAAACTTTAAATCTTCAGTAGGAGTTGTGTTCGCCTCCCGTCAGTTTCATTTTTTTCTGTTACCTTTTATTTTTCTCTTGTGAAGTTATTTGCACTGCTTTGGGCGTGCAACTCCTGCAGCTTGCTGAAGGCTTTTCATCCATCTACTCTGAACAGTTTGCATGTTTTAGCTGTTCTTAGGATTCTTTAAAAATACGATAGGGCCGCCCATCTTGCCAGCCAAACCGCCCACTCAGAGCATTGTGTGTATGTGGGAACACAGAATTGCAAGGCAGTGGGTGGGCTGGCAAGCAGTGCTTCAGGCCCTTCCTTCCCTGAGCTTTGCTGAAGCGAATATTCAGCCAAATGTGGTGGCTGAGCAACAGGGCACTCTTTGGGTGGGACTCCCTTGCTCTGCCCGCCGAAAGGGGCGATCAGGACCTGACCGCTCGGCTCCTGCAGCCAGAGCCGGTTGGGAAGGCGACCTTGGATGAGGAGGAAAGGGGACGTTCTGGCGGGCCGGAAGCAGCGGGGAAGGAAGACCCTGCAGATCCAGCCAGGGACCGTGCCCAAGATGGTGCAACCAGCCACCTGAGAAAAAGCCTGAGCAGGACTTACTCCTGAGGAACATGTACAGAATTGCACTGTATGACTGACCCCGATACTCCATTATTATTTTTTCCGGTTTATATCCTGCCTTTTTCCGACAAAGGGCTCAAGGCAGCTTGCATCATCTCTCCTCCTCCATCTTATCCCCACAACAACAACCCTGTGAGGTAGGTTGGGCTGAGAGTCTGTGACCGGCCCAGGGTCACCCAGTGGGCTCCATGGCTGGGCAGGGACCAGAACCCGGATCGTCTGAGTCCCAGTCCCGTGCTCTTAAGCACCACACCACACTGGCTCTCTGTGTGATCGTGTGGGATCAGGGCCTGTGAACTATCCTTCCATGCTGCATGGCTGTGCATGGCGATCCAGGTCGATCAATCGATCGATCGATTTAAAACTTTTATATACCCATTACTGGGTATATAAAGGGGATGTCCTATTACTGGCATCTTGGGACAGTTTTGAAGCCCTTCTCTGCTCTTTGCTCCTTCAGAAAGGAGACCGGTGTCTAAAAAGAGGGACCCCACGGGGCAAACAACAAAGCATCTTGCGACAGCCAGAAGAGATTTCTCATGGCATCCCCCAGCCTTTGATAGGTGTGGGACGCAATCCCCATCATCCCCAGCCAGCAGATCCTGGGAGGGACCGTGCTGTCGTGCGCGGGTGCCCACTCCATCCCTCGTGGGAACGGCGGTCCTCCCTTGACGGAAACAGGCGCTTGTGGGAGCACAAGCAAAGGCCGGAGGGAAACAAACCACAGACCCAAACAAGCCAGCGGCCAGTGACGGTTCCGTAACCTTTGAAATGAATTTCAGCCGAGCAGGAGAAGCCAGTGGAGGCCTCCTTGTCACTTTCCCTGTTATTTGTGAAGCACCAGACTGAATCAGCCCTCCTCACCTGAGTCGTTAATTAACTCCAGAGGTTCCGCCCTGCTGCTGGCTGGCACTGCTTCCCCTGCTGCATGACTGGTTTTATAACATTGCAGGGTGTCTTCATTTTCGCTGGGTCATTTGCATGCGATTTTATTGCCATGTTTCACTTGTATTGCAGAGCCCTTCGGGGACGGTTCACAGTCCCCCGTTCCCAGCGCAGCCCAGTCCACGTCCGCTTAGGAGTACCTGCCCGTTGTGTTTAGAAGGGTTTACTCCTGCGTAAGGGTGCGCTGGAGAGCTGACTCAGCCCCTCCACTTGCAGTGCTTCAAGCACGCATCACAACAGACACAAAGCGATTATAGCTGCAACAAAACACTCACAACAAAAGGAATACAGGCTTGGTTGTACTGCTGAGAAAAGAGAAAAAAGCTATTTTTCTCATTTTGGAAGCTTAGCAAGATGAAACTCAGCACTCCCAGGAGTTCCGACTGCCAGCCGGAACAGTTATGGGGAAAGGGCAAGAGAGAGAGTAGAATTTTTTAAAACATCATGAATCAAAGCTCACACCTGGCCGCGTCCATTTCAGGGAAGGATTGGCTGCACTTCTGCAAGTTTTGCTTCTTTCTCGTTTCGCCTTTGCCGTGTGACGGCCGCAGGCCCTTTGTCCAACTGTTGTCTGCTCCGGCAGGGAGGTCATCCAGATCGACCTGTTCCTGAAGGAGACAGCTGCCCGCGAAGCCAACGCCAAGATGCGCCTCCAGCAGTTCATCGAGGAGCTTCTGGACCGGGCCGACCGGGCGGAAAAGCAGCTTCAGATCATCAGCAGCAGCTGCGGGACAACGCCCAACTGCAGCCTGGGCCGGTGCAGCGTGCCCGGGTCCAAGAGCACCGGCAGACCGGTACCGAGCGACGCCTGCCTCCCAGCCCTCAGTACCCCACGCCCGTGGCCACTTTGGCCTGCCCGAGCCCCCGTCTGCCTCCTCGCCATCCCTGCCCTCCGCCACCGGTTCCTTGGCTCTTGCACAGCTTTCCTCCGCCCCGAAAGCCCACGTGCCGCTCCCAGGGCTCACGGAAGGGCAGAAAGGGCATTCAGTGGGCTGGCCTTGGGCTCCTGGCCCTGCCCCTCTGGCCTTTGGCCCGCCCACCCCACAATGGGCTGGGAGGGACCCTGCTCCCCGGTTCCAATGAAGGGCCCCCAGGGTGAGGTGGGTCTTCCTGGGACAAGGGGCAGCGGTCCGGTCCTTCTGGCCCCTTCTCTCGGCACGTGTTTCGTGATCAGAACAGACCCCATCCGATCCCAGATTTCCCCATTCCTAATCAGTGGCTTCTTGGCCCCGGAATATGGAGGCCTGTGAGCCACTGTGGCCACACGAAGCCTCCCCGCCCAGGGGCCATCGCTCTCCGAACGTCCCAGCCGGGACACCATTCCTGTGCTGACGGAATCAGCCAAACCCTCTTCCACCCGCTGCCCCCAGAAAGGACGTTGCTCTTCCCTTTCCCTCCCGTCCACGCTCTGGGGCCCATCCTGAGGGCCAAAAGGGCCTGTTTCCGGGCTTCTGTTCCTGGGATGGACTCGTGCGCATGGCGCTGCCGAGGCGCAGAGAGTGCTCCCTGCCCCCCCCCCCACGCATGGAACGGCGTGCACACCGCCTGTCTTGCTGCTGAGCAGGGTGTGCAAGGAGCGGTGGATCGGGGCACCAGATTTGCAGGGCTGTGGTTTTCCCTCAGAGATTGCCTGGGGGATCCTGTCTGGGAGCAAGTCTGGGGTTGCAGGTAGCAGGGAAAGGGGGGGGTGAGGAGAAGGTTAAGTGAGCCGCCCCTCCATTGCAAGGTAACATCCAGGCAAGCCTCTCCTTCCTCTGTTCCGGATACAAAGGGCAGAGCCAGGCTGGGTTTGACATGGGAAAGCAGTTCTGCAGACTTCACAAAGCATCTCCTCCCTTTTCCCCAGATAAGAACCTGAAAGAAAGATCCACATTTCTTCTGAAACCCGCCCTTACTATTTCAGGGACTGACTAGCTGAGGCAACGGGAGCAATAGTCATCCAAAAAATTCCACTGTGGGGGGCGGGGGGGGAGCATTCCCCTCCAGTTCATGCTTCAGACCCTGCATGGACCAGACTCTGTGTTTGCATAGATCTGAGATCACATTAAAGTCTGCATCTGACAGGATGGATGGCTTTCATTTGCAATAAGATGCGAGGAAATCACCATTTAAAACTCTCCCACAGCGCTGCTGCTGCTGCTGAGCTTTCTAACGTTTCAAGAGAAGGCGACTGAATCACAGATCTCGGTTGTCTCCCTCTATTTAGGCTGTGGTCACATGGCTTGTTAAGTGGCAGGGAACTGCTTAGCTCGAGTGTTGAGGCCGATCAAATGGGTGCGAAGGCGCTTCTGATCTCCATTTCTTTGTCTCGGCAGAGAGACCGGCACCTGGTCCCTGGCGCGACGCCACAGAATTCCTATGCCGTTTCCAACCAAAGGTCATCTTCAAGCACTGGGTAAGGAATGGTCCCATGCGCTCCCCTTCTATTTCTACCCACCTCCTTGGTGATTGGGGAAGATTTTTTATGAGCCGTGGGAGGTCCAAGGTCACCTACTGAGTTTCAAGGCCGCGTGGAGACTGGAACTCGGATCTGCCTCGCTCTTGCCTCTGCCCCACCTGAAGTCCGGGGACATCTGTGTACCCAGGCAGGGGAAAGAAGAGCGGGGGCTCATTTAAAGACATGGCTTTATTGTGATGTGTGGAAAGTTAGGCTCGGTCTCTCCCTGTGGGAGGGTCTTGGCTACCCGGGAACCGTTTCCCACAAGGGCCTGTTTGTGGGCTGCCCTGCAGAAAGCGATCCGAGAGACCAAGAGCAGGAGTTCTGCACAGCTGTAGGAAGTGATGCTGCACGCTGAGTCCAGCATTCCACAACTCTCGGCTGCTTTCGCTGAAAAGCAGGCGCGCTACTAGTCCTTAAGGCTGCTCAGACGCAAGCTGGGGAAGGGGGGTGTTTGTGCATGCATGTCCTGGGGATGCCTAGCAGCCAGGACTGATGCCTTGAATATCTCTTGGGGGTGCCCGTGACTCGCAGACTCGATTGTGCAAATCAGGAAGCATGCCGAAGTGCATCAGACGGGATGCTGTCCAGGGCTCCGGTGCAGAAGCGCGGAGTGCGGCGCCTCATGCCAAGGGGTGGGTCTGGATGACCTCGGGGGCCTGCTCCTCCAGCGCTCTGCTTCTGCGATTCCAGAGCCTCCAGCCGCGCCAAGGCAGTCTCCCAGAGTTCAGGCTGCTATGACAGCGACAGCCCCGAACTGTACCACGGGGACGAGCCTGCGGACGGGCACGCCTACCAGGGGGGGCAGAACCGGGGCCCCGACGGCGGGGCAGAGAGAGCCGGGGCCACACGCAATGCCGGCCTGCGCCGGCAGGCCATCCAGAACTGGCACCGCAGGCCCTACCGCAACAGCACCGAGGGCGAGGAGGGCGACATCTCGGACGTCGGCTCCCGGACCACCGAATCAGAGGCCGAGATGTGGGAGACAGAGCCCAGGCTGTCCACCGAGACCCAGCAGGTGAACTTCTCCAGGCCTGGGAACAGTTCCCGGCTGCCAGGTGAGTCTCTCCCCCTCCCCTGAGGCTCTGGAGAGAGGCCCCCTCCAGGGATGCCGAAGCGGGGCCTGCTGTGGCCAAAGCACCCCACTGATAAGCCCTCCCTTTTGGCAGTGGGGAGCTAGCCGGGGGCACGCTAGGCACAGGCTCCCCCCTCTGCGAGGGCCCTGCTGGACCTGGCGGGGCCGCTTCGCCCATTTCTCGCCGCAGCCTGCTGGTGCAGCTCTCTTCACCTGGCCAGACAAACGGGGCACGGTGTAGAGGCCCTGCCTGCCCCCGGCTCCCTGCCTGCCGGCCCATGAGCTTGCCGAGAGCATCACGCAGCGTGCGAGGGAGGGAGCGCAGCGAGGGCTTCGGTCAGGCACGGCCCTCGGCCACTGAAAGGGTGGTCCACGCAGGCCTCGGGCTGGCCACGCACCGTGGGTGCCCGGCCTGGCTTGGTGCTGAGGCGCAGCCCAGGGAAAAGGAGCTCCGGCAGCCGTGCCCTGCTGGGGGGCAGGCTCACGTCCGTTCATCAATCAGACTTCAGTCCATTGTTGTTCATTATTAAATTATGTACTGACTTATTTCAGCGAAGCCACACCTTCCAAGCATACTTTCAGCTGTGCTTTCCCAAAAGCAATGTGTGGCTTTAATTCCGCTCTTTACATTTAGCTCCCCTGAGATAAAACAAGCAAGCAGAACTGGCCTGTTCTTAATCCATCCTCTGCTTGTCACAGAAAGGCTTCTCACAGGCTGATCCCGATCCAGGTGTGTTTCCTCGGAGGCAAGCCCCGTTGTGCGCCATGAGGCTTACTCGCCCTTAGTGCGCCTACGCAGCTGCAACTCGGTGCGGCGGTCCTCTGCCCCCTTAGCTGCTGGCAAGCCCCGCGGAGCTCTGGGGGGCTTCTTTTGCAGCCCTGCTCAGTCCACCGAGTACGCCTGCTCATAATTCGCTCAACGCCGAGAGGCGATGGAGGGAAATGTCCCGCGTTGATCATTTGTGCCGCAGCCAGGGCCGATGGAGGGAAGGCCAGCAGACCGGAGGGCGGGAGCCCTTCCCGCTCCAACGAGGTCATCAGCCCCGAAATCCTCAAGATGCGAGCCGCGCTCTTCTGCATCTTCACATACCTCGACACCAAGACCTTGCTTCAGGCAGCGGAGGTTTGCAAGGACTGGAAATTCGTGGCCAGGCACCCAGCGGTCTGGACCCGGGTACTGCTGGAAAATGCCAGGGTGTCCTCCAAGGTAATGGCTGCCCGCAGGCTTGCTTGGCTCTCTGCACATGCTCGTGAGGTTGTGTGTATCTGAGAAACTCGGATGAGTGGAGTTCGGGAGGGCCACGAAAGTCTGACCCTCTTCCAGCCCAAAGGCTAAATTTCACTTTGGAAAAGCTTTGAGGAATGCTGTGCCAGGACAAGGCTGGAGGAGAAAGAGGTGGCCCCAATCCACCAGCCTGTTTTCGCTGGGAGCTCTTCCTGCCAGTAAGGAAGCCTCCGGAGAGGCAGAAAGGAAGGAAGCTGAAAAAGTCACAAAACCGGTGGTCGTGGGAACGGGGGTGGCGCTTCCTGGGGAGTCCCAAGGTTCCTTGTGCATTTACGGGCACAGTCCCCCATCCACCCCCCCCCCCCGCAGTTTCTTGCTACAGGGTGGGTGCCAGATAAGTGCCCTTTGCCTTCCCATTTGCCCACCGGATGTATTTTAAAGAAAATACGGAGAGCCCTTGGGTTACAAGGCAGCATGCAAGTGTCAGAAAGAAAGGATGGGCGGATGGGCAGCCTGGGGCTGGTCACGAAAGCCAGATATGAAAGCAGAATATGATTGTCTTACCCAGCCTGGTGGCTTTGGACGGGTCAGTTTGCAGCCCCCCCTTCCCCACCTTTCTGCCCTGACAACCAGGTTGGGGAAGGAAGTGCGTTGAACATCAAAGCGCAGGAGCGCCCCTTGGCCACTGGGGCCACTGGCAGACCTCCCGGTACGTCTGTGGGGTGCAGCCCCAAGGCCACCCCCGGATCTCGTGGCTGCAAGTTCCGCACTCTGCAGCCGGAACACCCGTGACACTTGGTCTCCCCACAACACTTCTACTCCAGAATAGGTGCGGGGCCCCCACGGTGGATCTTAAAGTGGGGGGGCACGCACAAGGGAGCTGATCCAGACTGAGGCCGTGCACCTACTCTAGAGGAAACATCATGAAGGCAAGGCAAGGCCTTGTAACTGGGGCACTCATTCAAAGCAATGTCTGTTTTGGTCCTTTAGAAGTTTTGTGAAGTGGTGTTGTCTCTTTCTCTCTCTGTGTGTCCTGTGAATGGTGGATGATAAACCGAGAAGGTACTGGGGAGGTGATCTGGTGTAAATGGGAGATCCATTATCCCGTTGGACTATATGCATATAGCTCTGTTTCCCTGCTCTGGTTTACCGCTTCTCTGTTGCCCTCCATCCGTTTCCAGATGTTTCCGTGGAAGACTTTGAGAGTGTACAACTCCGATGTTGATCCCCAGAGCCGTGTGGCCCCCCGGTTTCCCCAGAAGGCCACAACCCTTCCCTGGGCCCCTCCCCTCTTTCTCGACTTTGCTGGTTCCCCAGCCTGGGGCCAGTATTTTCCTCCATCCTCAAAGTTTGGCTTGACTCTCCTGAGGCCGAGTTACTGGCAGAAGCAGCTTTTGCGAGCAATTCTGAGCATGTCAAGACATTAAAAATGGTTGTAACTCCCAGCACGGCTGGATGGGACACGATGGGAACTCTAGGCCTCTCTCCTGCTTCAGTATGCACAGGATCGTGCCTTTAAGCTGCAGCGGGGGCTGTTTTTGCCTTGACCAGCCCCTCTCTTCCACCCCCAGTTCCTCGTCATGCTGTCGCAGTGGTGCACCCAGACACACTCGCTCACCCTCCAGAACCTCAAGGCCCGGCAGAGGGGGAAGAAGGAGACCAAGGAAGACTACATGAAAAGCACGCGGTGAGTGAAAGCCGCCCCTGCCCGGCCACCCCAGCCCAGCCCAGCCCAGCCATCCAGCAGTGATTGCCTCTCCCCGCCGCACCATCTTCGACCACATCTCCCTGCCAGATGAGCAAGTGGTTTCTATGCCGCCCTATTTTCCATCCTCCCTCCTCAGTCCTCCGGCTGTTGTCATGCATCCCAGCAGCCAGCAAGACTGAAATGTCACCTCAAGGTGCATCGTCCCTCTGCCAGCGTTGCCTGCCTCTTCTCCTGGGTCCACACCCAGAGGCCGGATGGCTAGAGTGGCTCCTGCAGCTGCCAGTCTTTCCAGGGGACTCTGTGGTACTTGCATGCCAGGACCTTGGAAACCGTGATCCTGGGTTCAGACAACAGGGCAAACCATGGTAGAACAGAGAGACCGTAGAACAAACTTTTGTTTTTATCATGGTTTCTACAGACTGAACTTACCGTGGTAAAATACCACAACTGGTTTCAGACAACACGGCAGGCCAACAGTGGTAAAAAAAACCCACCGTGGCTCATTGTGTTGTCTGAATGCAGCCTCTCATGCAGTTGTCTATGAGATGAGGGAAGTGGAGACACCTGTCTCGAGGCCTGGCTACCCTGGTGGACAGGCGGTTCCTGGGAACGTCCAGGATGTACCGTTGGCAGGCGGGGACTCAGAGCAGCGTAGTGTCTCAGACACAGGCCGGGTGAGCACAGCTCTTGACCCCACGGTGCATCGCCAGCTAAGGAGAGCAGCTCTGTTGGAGAACTGGCACATGGAGAGGAGGCAAGCTTGCTTTCCGAAGGACCTCCCCGCAAAGGGATGGGCCCAGGCATGATTGTAAGGAGAGTTCCTGGAGGTGATTACTAGCTTGGGTGCAACAAAATCACTCTGTGCTTGCTCAGAGACTCATTCCGGGCGCTTTGTGGCCAATAAAGAACACTGTGCAAGGCAAACGGTCTGTGGCTTTTGAATGCATGAATGAGGAACCTCGACTTGCAACAACCACAACAGCGACAGTGGTACAAATTGTGTTGACATTTCTTGACTGCAGGCTGAACGTGAGCCAGCAGTGTGATGCGGTGGTCAAGAGGGCAAACGCCACCCTTGGTTGCATAGCCAGAAGTGTGGCTTCTGGATCGAGAGAGGTATTACTGACCCTCTATAAGACTCTGGTGCACCCGCGACTGGAGCATTGTGCTCAGTTTTGGGCCCCTCATTACAGGAAGGATATGGCCAGGTTGGAGTCAGTGCAGCGTAGGGCCACAAGGTTGGTGGCCGGTTTGCAGGGGATGCCTCATACGGCATCCCCTGCAAACCGGCC